CAGTGTGCAATGTTATTTGAAAATTAGAAAAAGGGTCTCACTGACTGAGCAAAAGGCACTTAAAGCCATTATTTGACTTTGTTCTATCAGCGAAGCCATTCATGGCTAAGATGGTCTAAAGCACATTGGGCATAACATTTTCTCCTGCTAGGTGGACAGTTCGAAATCCTGCCTGGGGGCATATCTTTTCTTTAATAAGATTTCTCAAATATTCAGGCTGGTATACAAAAATAAATACACTGTTTAAATAGAGCATTTACTTAAATATGGGTATCCACTAAAGATATCACCTAAGTGATAAAATCTAGCAGTTTAATAAATAAAAAATCCATTACCATATATATATTATTTCACATCTAAATATTACATTTGCTCACAAAAGTGCATGTCTTACACACACACCCCTCACCACTGGAAAGCTTTTCAATAATATTTTCACTGTGAGAGGAAGAGGAAAAAAAAAAAAAAAAGAGAAACCTGTTTTTGTACATATATAATGAGAATAAATCACATGACATATTAGCTAAATTTTGATCTGAAATTTTTACTTTATAATATTCAATCTATGTGATTAGTATTCTTAATTGACAAGAAAAGCAATTCTGTTGAGAAAAATAAATACTTTCTTCATCATTCAGTTACAAACACATTGATTTATCTATGTATCTCAAACGTATACATGTGAATTGGTACAAGAGGCAATGTCAAGAGGTTTCCAGCTCAACCAGGAATGACTTTCAGAAACCTCCCTGCCTTGTACATATAAACAAAAACAAAAACAAAAAAACATAACTTCAATGAAGCTAGATATACGAGGGCTGTGATGATTAGCAGGTCAAAATGAGAAATTGGAAAGCAAAATTCAAATTCAAATACCCTTAGGAAAGGTATGAATCCATCTCCTCCCCCTAACTATGGGTTAAATAATAGGACTTTTGTTTGAAAAAAATACAGATATTCCCCAAACATTGTTAATGCAATTCATTCGAACACCACCCCACCAAAAAAAAAAAAAAAAAAAAAAAAATTATTCCAAAATGTTTTAGCTTTAAATAGCCCACAAAGGGTTGATAAGCCATAAAAAATAAATCATTCAATCTGTAAATAACATGGGATGATGTGTGTGTATGTGTGTCTCATACACATATGAAAGCTGAGACAAAAGTTACATGATCTATAAATATATTGTCAACAGGATTAAAAATGTGCACCCTCTCTACCATCCCAACAGATAAATTAATGTCATTGTTGTAACAAGCACAAGATCAAATGCTTTCAAAATTTCTTATCTCTGTATTTCATTATCAAACTGAAAAATTGTTTTTGGTGATGCAGGTGTACAAAAAAAAAAAAAATTGTCAAATTTATATATTTTTTTAAAATCATTCTTATTATTTATCAATAAAATAAAATTATGGAAAATAAGTTTTCCATAATTTTGTGATATTTTGATTAAAAACAAACTTTTGGAGAAAATTTTAAAGATTTAGCCACCTTGGATCCACAATAGTTAAACTGATTTTAGTGTTATGCTACATCATGATATTATTTTTTTTTATCATCATATTAATCAAATCAAATTTAATATTTATTACTAAAGATTTTTTTTTTTTTTAAATTATTCCTTAAAGTGGTTAGAGCAAATAAAAAGTGGAGAATTACACGTACATATGCTACACACACAAAAAAATGCACAGAGACATACATACATAATTACAAAAAATAAAAATAATTATTATTCAAACAAGAAATAAATAAAAAAAAAAAAAAGAAGGAATACCTCTATATTTTGAAAAACTTTAGAAACCCCCAGAATATTCTGGAATATTAGCCTAATTTTTGTTACATAATCTTTTGATAAAGAAATGAAAGAAAAGGAATGAGAGAAAATAAGGAGACAAGTAAATTATGAAAAGAAGAAATAACCAGGACATCCTAAACATGTGCACGCATACAAATAGGAAAAATCAACCTAACACCAATAAAAAGCACATAAGTTATTTTTTAACTTGATATAAAAACAAGGAAAATGAGAAAATTGACAGACATTTGCTAATACCTCCTGACAAGTGGACTGTACAAAACTCTGGAATAGAGATGCTGAATATAACATCAATCAGATCAGCTAAGTAACAAATTCTATATTTGTATTAATCCTATATATATATATATAGAGAGAGATATATACATACATTCATTCATTCATTCATTCATTCACACACACTGTCGAGCCTGATGATCGTGTTTAAGCATGAAACAGACTGTTGCTGCTAGGTGTTGACCTCAATCTCCACTTTTATATTTATATACACTATCTCTGATATTGAGCACTTTACCCCATAAATATAGCCTAACTTAAAACTATATATATTTACAGACATGTATGTACACGCACATACACACAAAGAAAAATATTTTTAAAAATCAAACTAATACTAATAAAAAAAAGCACATTTTCTTTTTAAACTTAATATAAAAATAACAAAAATGAGAAAATTGACAGACATTTGCTGATACCTTCTGACGAGTGGACTGTACAATTAAACAAAGGTTTATCTACAAAACTCTGGAGTAGAAATGCTGAATATGACATCAATCAGTTCAGCTAAGTGACAAATTTTATATTTGTATTAGATAGACAGGCAGACAGATTTAAATAAAATAAATAATAATTACATTAAAACTAAGTAAATAAATTTTCAACTACATTTACTCACTTTCATTTATTAAGCAATAAGTTACATCACTTAGCATCCTCCATAGTTTACCTTTCCTTACACAATTAACTTTAAGATATTTTAGTACATTCTCAAGTTTTAAAATTAAAAACTTAACTACATTTTTCCTCCACTTTACTCCTGTGCATAAATACAAGTTACAAAATTAAATCTCCGCATTTACCTTAAGGTTCCTCAGGGGACAGGACATAACGTGTTGGTAAAGAATATTTTTCCTTTTGCATTTTATTTATATTGTGCTTATATATAAATTTTATTCATATCTGAATTTTTACACACACACACAATAATATTGGTTAGCTATTCATTTCCAAGCACACCCATCTGCTCAAGTGGCAAGATAATCCCTGTTGTTGACACCGATTCAGGCACATTTATATTTCTTCAACACCCACAGAGCCCACATGTGGTTTATACTGCAACTATGCTGAGTAGACTTTAGTTACAGTTTCTGGGAGGGTGAGTGCATAATCTCAGGTGATATGATCTACAGTTTAACAAGGCCACCTATATATTTTGCACATATATTGTAAGATTTAGATAATTTCTCAGTTCTATGTGCCATAATGGTTATCAGACTTGTCTGAGGGATTTATTTGTTCCTATTTCAATCATAGCTTGAGTCAGACTAAGCACAGCTTAATAAATGTACACACACAAGTTTCAAGATTAATCATAAATGATGACTTCTGAGGAAATTAAACAGTAATGTATTCAATTTATTCTGTTTTTCCACCAATTTGTTGTCCAAATTGAAGTGGTCATCAAAGGAATGGATTTTATTTGAGAAAACAATTAGTAAAATCATCTTGACTTTCAAAATGGCAGATACTTGGAATAAATGCAGAAGATTAACAATATGTAAGTCAAACACTTCATTAGAAATGGGCACCATTTGTAAGTTTTATAATTTTTATTCCAAAGAGAGTGAGAGAGAGAAAGAGGAAGAAAGGTAAAGGAGAGAGAGAGAATGGGGGTGAAAAAAAGGGAGAGAGACAAGAAAGAATGGGGGAAGTGAAAAAAGGAGAGAGACAAAAGAGAATAGTAGTGAAAAACAGGGGGAGAAATGTGAGTGAGAAAAAAAAAAACAAAAGAGTGAGAGTAGCCAATTTAAATTTAAAGACTTACCAAAATAAATAAACAAGTTTTTTTAATAAAAAATTTTTTTTAAATTGTAAAAAGAAAGCAACAAAATCTTCCTTCAAAAATAGAAAATATTTTAAATGCCTCTTCAAATCAACAGAAATAAAGAAAAATATCTTGGGGGGGTGGAAAAAGTAGAAATTAGTCCAAAGATTACTAGAAAATTATTAAGGAAAAGAATTCAGAATAAAAATTTAAGTGATTTTTAATATGCTTCAAAAGGGAGCGAAAATAGTGTGGAGAATTTTGAAATAAAAAAAAAAAAAACAAAGTATAAAAAAAGAAACTAAGAAATAAAGAAGTAAACAAAATATTTTTTTAAAATTTAAAATTTCAGGAAGAAAAGCTAACAAGAACAAAATTAGGAAAATAATTTGAATAATTTATCAATGTCAAAACTTACTCTAAGTCTAAGATTTAGTAAGATTATTTTAAAATTAAAATAAAGAATTAACATTTAAAGACGTTTTGAAAATAAATAAATAAATAAATAAATAAATAAAACACAAATGTTGCCACAGTTTCCAAATTTTTCAACAGTAATATATTTTCTCAATCATTGGGAGGGTCCTGTCAAAACTGACAGGAGATATAACTGCTCTTTGCTACTACTGCCTGGGCTAGATTAGATCATTCTAGAAGACTTTGTCCAAATAGTAATGTAATGTTATCTTTGTACAGAGTAATCAGAATGCAAGACTAAATCTAACATAAATATAATTATTGTTTATTCACATCTGGACTTTGTCAATTAATATCAGAAAGAAAAGAGGTGTGTGGCTTTGGGCATTTTCTTCCAAATATGGATTTCCTGCTCAGGGGGATGTGAGAGACTTTAGATTTTTTCCTCTCAGGTGGGGTGCTTATACACCTTACTTTCATCCTTTTTTTTTCACATGTGAACATTCTAAGTGCAGCTGAGTTGAAAACTTGTTTACATGTCAGGGGGTGGGATCAGCCACACCAACATGCTGTGAAAAATGAACCTGTACTTAGTGGCTATAAGATCACCTTACCTAAATCAAACTACTTATTGATATTAAATTCAGATCAGACCAACTGGTATTTCCTAGTATTAACCAGATACTATACTAACTTGCTGTTCTATAAATCATTATGCTAAGTCTGAGCAAAAAAAGAGAGAAAGAGAGAGAGAGGAGAGAAAGAGAGAGAGGAGAGAGAGAGGAAAGAAAGAGAGGGGGGAGAGAAAGAGAGAGGGGAGAGAGAGAAGAGAGAGAGAGAGAAGAGAGAGAGAGGGGAAAGAGAGAGAGGGGAAAGAAAGAGGGGGAGAAAGAGAGAGAGAGAGAGGAGAGAGAGAGAGGAGAGAGAGAGGAGAGAGGAGAAAGAGAGAGAGGAGAGAGAGAGAGAGAGAAGAGAGAGAGAGGAGAAAGAGAGAGAGAGGAGAAAGAGAGAGAGAGAAAGAGAGAGAGGAGAAAGAGAGAGAGGGAGAAAGAGAGAGAGGAGAAAGAGAGAGAGAGGAGAAAGAGAGAGAGAGGAGAGAGAGAGAGAGAGGAGAAAGAGAGAGAGGAGAAAGAGAGAGAGAGAGGAGAAAGAGAGAGAGAGAGAGAGAAAGAGAGAGGGAGAGAGGAGAAAGAGAGAGAGAGAGAGAGAGAGGAGAGAGAGAGAGGAGAAAGAGAGAGAGAGAAAGAGAGAGAGAGGAGAAAGAGAGAGAGAGGAGAAAGAGAGAGAGAGGAGAAAGAGAGAGAGAGGAGAAAGAGAGAGAGAGGAGAAAGAGAGACACAGAGACAGAGAGAGCAAGAGCTGAAGAGAAAGAATGGTGTATCTCATGTTTTCAAGATAATAGAAGAAAATAAATAAGGAAAACAAACTCGTAGACAATTAATGAAATAAAAGTTTTACTATATGAAGCTACAATTAGCAAGTGACCTAATGCTAACCCTCCTCAACTCCTTTTTTTACATAAATGAACAATTCCATTCATTCATGTACTATATGACAGAGAGCAAAAAGAGAGAGTGTGAGAGCAAAAAAAAGAAAGAGAGAGTGCAAGAGCAAAAAAAAGAAAGAAAAACTAAGGAAAAGCAAGTAAGTAAAAGAAAAATATGAAATGCATAGTTTCCAGACCAAAGAATCGAGTGAGTCAAGTTCTAGATTCGAGAAAGCATTGCCAATTTCACACTCTAATTAAAAAGGAGTTGTTCACTTTAACATTTGATGGCACCCAACAAATACAATAAATAAAGATCAAGATAGAACATTGTGCTTAAAATGAAATGCATGGATCATTGTAAAATAATGACAAGCCAACTGCTGCTAATTATTAGTTATCATAGGCTCCAATTTCTATTGTAGGAATCAGAAAGTATCCTTTAAAATAACAAGGCTTAAAAAAGCCAAAAGGACAAAACTGAAAAAAAAAAAAATTCATACACATTATCTCATGTAACATTTGCATCAATTTGACCATCTCTCACTATCCATTACTCTCTAAGGCTGTTCTGATCTATCTCTCTCTATATATATATATATATATATATATATATATATATATATATATAATTCGTGTGCGATGGGTAAATTGTCATGTCATCAAAATTACGCAAAAATGAAAATAACACTGACATCTCATTTTAACAGATATATTTACCAAATTTACACAAAAATATCTTGAAATACTAAAGAGTAAATTTATTCAATAAAATTGCCACTGGCTTCCACCAAGGCCTCCAGATGACTTCAGAATCTCTTGTAACACTTCTGGACTGTCTCCTTTGTCAAGTTGGTGAATGCTACCATAATCCTTGCCTTCAGTTTATCTTTGGTGTTACAAGGAGTTTGGTTGGTCTCTTGCTCAACTGTGCTCCACACATAATAATCAAGGGGGTTGCATTCTAGGGAGTTAGGTGGCCAGATGTAAAGGGTGATGTGGTTTCAGAAATTGTCTGACAGCCAATGACTGGGTTCTCCTGCTTGTGTTGCATGGTACAGAGTCCTATTAACAGATATAGGGTCTTCCAGTAATCACCCACTTGGCCAAGGGCAGAACTACCTCCTCATAGCACTTGATGTAGGTCTCTGTGCTGAGTCTGAGGCCCTCACCAACATATTCATAATCACCATTAGACTCATCCAACTCATTCTGAATCCTCTGCACTGACCACAAATTGACACCTAAACACTCTGAAATGTTAGTATTGAAGCTTCTGGTGCAAATGCTAAGCACTACAGCATGCTGTTTCCAAATTTCTGTCAGAGCGAATTGCATCATGGTGCTTATATATATATATATATATATATATATATATAATATATAAGTGCCTCAGACTCAATACACAAGTCTACATTAAGTGCCTTGAGAAGGTACTGCTGCCCTGGGTCAAGAGGGTGGCTGCTGGAAGATCCTATTTCTAGCAACAGGATTCTGCACCATGCCACACAAGCACGAGAGCCCAGTCATAGCTGTTAGACAATTTCTGTGACTATATCACCTCTTACATCTGGTCACCTAACACCCCAGACTGCAACCCCCTTGATTATTATGTTTGGGGCGCAGCTGAGTGAGAGACCAACAAAACTCCTTGTAACACCAAAGATTATAGCATCATTCACCAACTTAACCAAGGAGACTGTCCAGAAGAGTTGCAGGAGATTCTGAAGTCGTTTGGAGGACGTGGTTGAAGCCAATGGCAATTTTATTGAATAAATTTAGTATATCAAGATATTTTTGTCTAATTTTGGTAAATATATCTGTTAAAATGAGATGTCAGTGTTATTTTCATTTTTGTGTATTTTAGTCAACAATTAAACCATCACACACTGTAGTGGGGGGGGATATTTGCACACATATAAATTTTTAATTTATTGCATTTCCAACTAATGAATAAATATACTTTTCATATAATTAACTGTACACAGATGCATAATAACTAAATATGCATAGAAAATAAAGAAAATTTTGATTTAATAAAAATAAATCCCATTTATCCATTTTAATAGGTGAAAAAAGTATTTGTACAATGCAAATTTCAGATTTTAAACCTTTTAAATTGCTTTAATACTCTAGATTATTCAAGTGGAATATTCTAGAATGTTCCGATAATGTTATCAGGAGTTATTTTTAGCCTAAAAAATACAAACAGAACATTCTGTAACTGATATTCATGCAAGAAGGATATCATCATGGCAAGAGGTAAAAGATTGACCAATTCACAAAAAGAACTGATTGTTAAGCTCTGGAATGAAGGTAAAAGTTACAGGAAAATCTCAGACAACCTAAATATTCCATTTACTACCATTAGTTCATTCAATGCAAGTTAGGTATAAAAACTCAAATCTGTTAAATACCAAAGAAATACAAGTGCTCCCTGGAAGATGAACATAAGGATAATAAAAAATCATATTGGGAAAGAGCATTATGGACAGACAAAACCAAAATTGAGTTGTCTGGATGTAATTCTAGAAATCATGTATGAAGATGGCGATACCTTCAAACAAGTAAAAAAAAACACAGTTCCAACAGTGAGCTTTGGTGATGGCAGCATCATGGTTTGGGGAAGTTTTCTCTGCAAAATATCAGTAATAGATGGTAGAATGAATGCTGCTGCATATCAAAATATTTTGGAAGCAAATTTAATAATTTCAGTTGAAAATCTTGAACTTCCTCCTGATTGGATCTTCCAATAAGATAATGATCCTAAGCACACTGCAAAATCTACAAAGAAATAGCTTGCTGAAAATAATGCAAGTATCCTGAAATGACCAAAACAGCCCCCAGATTTAAACCAAATTGAGAATCTGTGGCGTTATTTGAAAATTCAAATCCAATTGAGTCTCCAACAAACATCCCAGATCTGAAGATCATATGCAAAGAAAAATGGAACAAAATACCAACTAAATTTTGAAAATCATTAATTGAGAACGACAAGAAGAGGTTGGTTGCTGTAGAAGTGAATAATGGCTATCCTACAAAGTATTTAATGAAGATTATGTATTCTTTTTCTATTGTACGAATATTTTTCAGCCATTAAAATGTATAAGTGGGATTTATTTCTATTAAGTCAAATTATTTTCTGTTTTCTCTGCATATTTACTTATGCATCTGTGTACAGTTAATTATATGAAAAGTATGTTTATTCATTAATTGGAAATACAATAAATTAAAAATGTGTATGTGTGAGAATATTTGTTTCCCCCTACTATGTGTGTGTGTCTGTCTCCCCAAATGACTCTTAGTTTATTTAAGCATTTCACCCCTAGCAAGCCGGGAAGCCACTAGCACGCAAGGGGTTACAGAGGATTTGGAGCAAGAGCAGATAGGAATGATAGAGGAGAGGATGAGGAGAAGGATGGTGGATAGATCAAGGCAACTGGAGATGTCAATTGACATTACATTTGAATAGTTGGAAATTAAAGGTATCAGAGAAACAGGAGTAGGGAAGGGAGTTCCACAGGCAAAAGGTGCAAGACATGAAGCTTTTGGAGTAGAAGAGGCGGCTACATCTAACAGTTTCTGACAAAGTTCAATTTCAATCTAATAATTTTTACTCTACCATGTTTGAATTCTGTCATGAATAGAAGTGTTTACTTGAGTGCATTAACAAAAATGAAATTATGCTGGGAAAGATTTACTATATAAAAGAGGAAAAAACTGTTTCATCATTAGGTTACACTTTAATTGGTGCGCGCGCACGTGTGTGTGTTTTTTACTTTTTTTATTATTATTCTACTGAATAACTTCATAAAATGACAGATGGTCCCAGCCTTTCCATGACTCAACTCAAATATTTGTTTTCTTTAATATTCTCTCTTCATGGGTCAACACTCCAGTGTTCCAAACACGTGCCGTCTTGCATGTTGGAAACTAGAATTCTATGGATAACGATGGGACTCAGATACTTGAAAGGGTCCCATGCTCTCACCTTATTGACAATCATAACATCAGGACAGGTTCCTACTAATTAGTTTGCCAGAAATTTATCCAGAATTTGCGGGGTTAGGATGGAGAGTCCATGATATCAAACTTTCATGTAAACACTTGATTTATTCAGGTCTAAATTATATGTTCTTAAAGAAAATAAATATTGAACGAGGACTTCAGATGCAAGTGACACATCTGGTTTTACCCCTGAGGGGAGGTACCAATCAGTGAAGAACAAGAAGTTGGTGGGAATAGAGTTAGAATAGAGAAAGAAAAAAAAAAATTATATATATATATATATATATATATATATGGCTGGATATTCATTTCCAAACATACCCATCTTGCAAGGCAGCTAACCAATCCCTATTGCAGATGCCCACTCAGGCATATTTGTGTTTCTTCAACACCCACAGAGGGCGCAGCTGAGTAAGTGACCAACAAAACTCTTTGTAACACCAAAGATTATAGCAGCATTCACCAACTTAACCAAGGAGACTGTCCAGAAATATTTTGGAAGCAAATTTAATAATTTCGGTTGAAAATCTTGAACTTCCTTCTGATTGGATCTTCCAATAAGATAATGATCCTAAGCACACTGCAAAATCTACAAAGAATTAGCTGAGCGGAGCTTAGTTACAGTTTCTGGGAGAGAGTATATAATATGGCATGATTAATCTTTTTGAACAAGGCCAGAATAGTCAGAACAACTGTTGCAATCTACTCAAAATTATAAACAGTACAAACAATTACTATTTTGATTTATTGTTAAAAGAAACGCATTACCATCCATTTCCTTTTTCAAACTGACAAATACACAATTAACATTTTTACTGCATTTTTGTCTTTTTGGTCCATATCACTAGATATGAAACTGTGGAAA